GTTTCCGTTGCCGCTTTCATCTGAACACAATATGTTGTTTACTCTCACAGAGCGCGAATTGCGAGCACATAAAACTGTATTTTGAGATTTGCCGTCGAGACCGATACATTTTTTTTGTGCGAAAGGAAAATACATTTACGTGCGACTCCTTGAAATTTTATTTTCCGACACAAAGTCGTTCGATCGCTCGAATTACGCCGTCATAAAATTTGAGAATAGAATTGTTTATAACGATATTAAAACGCGTATCTAAAAAATATGAAAAATCGCTTCAAAGCCCCGAAACATTGACGTTTGCGTGTAAAAATATTAAATTTTTATCGTACAAGAAAAATTTAAAATTTACAAGTATAACAAATTATAGTTTGGATCGAAATGATCGAAACGTAAATGTTTGCATTGTATATTTAAAATGCTTCTCTGAAACTGCGCGGAAAACCTTGAATATCAAATTAATTCAGTTTCGATTCAAGAAGTTTCGCGACGGAGATGAGAGCCTCGAAAAGAAAACGTCAACTTTTATTTCCGAGACCGAAATTAAACGTCTCGCTTTGATTGTGCTGGCGGATGAGAGGTAAAGTCTACTGTCGTGACACCGAATCTGAGATAGTCGTGCGGCATCCGAAACGGATGCCGCACTTCAACGCCCGTCCTGACCCTGTCAGGAGTCCGCAGAGTCCCTGACAGATGCAGTTATCCTCGGATCTTTGCACTTTGCGGGCGCCGCGCGTTCCGCTTTTCGGTTACTATTTTTTTTTTTTTTTTTTTTTTTTACATTTTTTTTACATTTTTTTCTAATTTTACTTTTTAAGTTTCTAATCTTATCTTTGGTTTTTTTGTTTTTATTTTTAAATAACATCAAGTATTAATTATTGATTCCGATTGTCGTGTTGCGCACGATCACATGAAAGAAGCTCGTAGCGCCTCTCTTATCTAATCTGAATTGTATAAAAAAAATATATATATAATACAGAGAAGTTTATTAAAAAACAGTGGAAAAAAAATTGTTAAGCGCCTTTTTTATCTAATCTGAATCGTATCGATAAACAAATATCAGAAACTTCTCTTCGCTCACTCGAGACTTACGATGTTACTCGAATGTATGTCATTAAGTAGACAATATATTTTGTCGGGGAGAAGATGAAAGATGAAACAAGACAAGATGTAAAAGCAGGATAGGGCGGAAGGGGAGAGTAAGGAAGAGAGAGAGAGAGAGAAAGAGAGAGAGAGAGAGAGAAGGAGAGGGTGAAAGGGGGACGCATGTGGTCGGTAGTGCCCTAGTTGTGTATTGATCCGTGACAGTGGAAGGCGCTCGTTAGAGGTGGCTAGGTTGTAGCTCGCATGCGCATTTCCACTGATGATTCCGTGTTGCCATCATCGACCCGCGGCCCGAAAGAAATACAGCCGAATCGACGAGAAATGCTGTGAAAAAAAAAAAAAGGGAAACAAAGCGATTTTACAAAGCGATGCAGAAAAAAAAATTAAACCGAGAGACACGAGAACAAAAGGGAGAAATAAAGAGCTGGGGGAAAAAAAAAAGTTATTATCCGGAGAAACGGTCGGGAGAGAGAGAGTGCCGTCAGTCTGCTCGGCTGGCAAATAGATCGTGGATCATCCTCTGAATTACGTTCGTGAAAATTTCAAGAACTTCAGATATTTATGTTAAAAAAAAAAAAAAAAAAAAAAAAATGACTGTGACATTTCTTATAAAATGAAGTACTCTCGCGTTACACATTTTAATTATCCCTGTGAATTAAGTCGGATTATAAGCAAATCTTCTTCCGAAGATGGACGGCTTCTATATATCTCCTGGGATGTTTGGTGCGCTGTGTATGTATCGGCTAATCCAACATAACATAAGCCTCTCCCTTCCCCGGTGGCGAAACATAACGTCGCCTGTATATCATCGCCGCGTCGTCGCGACCCGCGATCGTAAAATCAATCCTTGACGTCTTCTTAACTCGGTGTCTCGTTTAAAAAATACACAGGTGCACCGCGTATGTGTTTCTTGTTTGAACAATTTTTGAGAAATTTGTTTAAAAACATGAGAATATTGCACACACGCGCTATAAGATGCAAGATTAGATTCAAATGTCACTTTACTTGTTGGCAAAAATGTGAAAATTATGTTAAATATTATGTTGGTTGTGCGTCCGCGGTCGATCAACCGGTCGCCCGCGGCGGGAGAGGAGAATGACTCGGAGACGCACAGAGGGGTGATCTCTCTTTCCATCTCACGGAACGAATTATAATGTGCGGAGCATCAAAACTGCATTGAGAGACCGACAAGAGATTTTTTTTCTATACAATTGAGCATTATATATGTAAATAATGCGGAAACTATATTCGAATCGAACGGCAAATGTTTGAAATTCATTAGAAAAATTTTTGTAAAAGTATCTTCTCAATTTTTTTTCTTTCTTTTCGTCGAGTATGTTAGGTTGTCGCTTATCGAGATGTAAAAATAAACGCGCTAAGAATACGAAGTCGTATCAAGCGTTGCTTTAATGAACGCGATGCAATCGTCGAGATTCGACGCGTCGCTTTCCTGCCAAAGCCTCTGACCACTTCCGGCTTCTAGTCGACCGATTCTGTGACTGATCCCCGCGCTCACCGCGCAGACGGGGGGGCTCGCAAAGTATTGCGAACCCGCGCGATTGCGCGTAAGGTCAAAATCGCGTCCATATAACTTCGTTACGTGCGACATTTGTATTTTGTTATTTATTGCCACGTATCGCGCGCGCGCACGTATAAACGCTCTTTCTTTTTTTTTTTTTTTTTCAGTGCGATAAAATGTCCCGAATTGAATTTTCGGAACTTAATTTGTTAAAATGCTTTTTTTTTTGTCTCTGCTGTACGAAATAAATTTTTTTTGCATCGAGTTTAAAATTGAAACAAAGTCATCGAGAGTAAAATTTAATTGAAAATTAAATATACAATTAAGGACACAAAACAAAATTTATAATTAATGAATTAATTACAATTAATAATAAATTGTATTTTGCTCGTCGAGAGATGCACCTGACGCGTGCGCCATGCGCAAAAATGTCACATTCGAGAGTGTGCGCGCGCATTGAACAATCAGCGAGATACATGTGTGAAACAAAATTGCATAATCATGCTTCCTCAATAGCGACGTGAGCGTGACGATGGGCCAGAGTTAATGATACCCGTGAAATTGATCGTTTACGTTATACCGAGGCAGCGACCGCGAAAAAAAAAAAAAAAAAACAGATAACGAGAATCGAACGTGCAACGGACAACACACAAAGTCCGGGATTACGTTTTGACGATCGTAATCGGCGATTTGTCGACTCGTAAAGGTCTTTTATCTAATCATTGCGCCGTCCGTAACGAGCCGCTGTGATAGAATTAATAGCCGCGCGCAGCAATTGCACTCGTGTAAGCGCGTCCGCGTTACGAGTCTCGCGTTTCGTCACTTAGTTCATCCGGTACGTGAGAATATCGTCGGTTTTCATGGTTGACGGCAGTTAAATAATAATATCTCCGCATAATAAGCTGCGCGTGAATATTTTTGGTAACAAAAGAATTTGATATTCTTGGGAAATATAATTCGAAATTGCGCGTACGCGCGACGACCGCGTACACGAACAATTTGTTTCCCCGACATAGCCGGGGGACCGCGCACTTAATTTTTGTTCGAATATTCGAATTTCTTAGTAGTGAATTACTTCTTTGTTTGAGTGATTTAAATCCTAATTGGTTTTTTTGAATTAAATAATTTTTAAATGTCATTATTACATCAATACGCGTATTAAATTAATTCAAAAAGTAATAAATTGATGCAATAATGTGAATTATATCTAAAAAAAATCATGTAAATGTTATTTCCCATTTGTGTAAATAACGTGTGTGAACGATACAAATCTTCATTTTTAGAAATTCGAACAATGGAGTTTTGAACAGTTTATTGATTGCAAATATATCAACAGTTAAAAACTTACGACAGACATTAAATACGCTTTGCGTTCTACGGATCTGTGTGTCATTAGATTTGTTTCTACAATAATAATACGGATAATTTATGATTAGGTGTCACTTGTGCGAGGGATAATGACAAAGCAACCGAGAAAGAGAGAGAGAGAGAGTTTAAGGTTTCGTCGCTTAATCGCGCCGGTTAATGCTGATAAATGCGAAACGCGAGATAAACGGCGAGCGTTGAGTGGGTCTTGGAATCCACGATTACAGGATACCATTGAGCATCGAGCATATAGCGGATTGTTAACAAGTGTGTCTCTCTCCATTGAACTGGCGCACTACCGGAAACGGTCGTTATCCGAACGCGGTCGCGCCGAGGTCGCACTTGAAAATCGGGCTTTTGCTCCTCCTCTTCACCTCCAGTGGACGTCTATTTATCTTTTTTTTTTCTTTTTTTTCTTTCTCTCTCTGTCTGGCGACATATGTTGTCTGTCTCTTTTTTTTTCTTTCTCTCTCTCTCTCTCTCTTTGCAGAAGGTCGTTTTAGCTGTGACCCGGTGCCGTTCGCGAGAACGAGATACGAGAAAACTCTCTCCCGTTCGGATAACGACGTCAAATTGCACGTGTTGGCGATGACGGTCTATAACCGTTGATTTTTTTTTTTTTTTTAAATTATACACGAGAAACGGAACGCGGGTGTATATATACTTCGCGCGCAAATTAGACCATTCGGAAAAATTTATTCTCATTCTGTTTTCTTGTACGTGTGCGATTCCCATGGGAGAAACGTCCAATTTTGTGCGATCAAACGCACTCGCGCAGGAAAAAACACGAGAACTCGACTCATATACATATACGTATACACGTATTGTTATTATTTTTGAATCATTATACATACAATAATTTTTGTCACATGATATATACGTACGTACATGTACATTTGCGTTACATGTCGTTTATATACATATATACATATATAATTTATTTTGTTTTTATATTTTTTGTTGTATCTCTCACCTGCATGATTTATTCATGATTTTTTTATCGCCCATTTTTTTACAGCAACATGGCCGCTCAGACTCATACAGGGTCGCAACGTTACCCAACATTCGCGACGACAACAAAACCGCAGATGGAATGTACAAGGTATTCATAAAGAGAGCGGACTCTAATATCCGCACGAATTTCAATTAATATTTCCGGGTGCTTCTCTGGTCAACTGGTGCGACAAACAGACATCTGTCTTCGTCTGTCTGTCTGTCTGTCTTTGTGTTCTTTATCTCTCTCTCTTTCTCTCTTTTTCTTTCTCTCTTATTATATTTGCCCGCTCCTTCCTCTCCTTCCTCTCACCTTCCTTCTCATCACGTCGGTTTCTTTATGCTGATCTCTGCTAATTCTGTCTCTTCATGGAAAATAACGGTAATGCTTCTTTTCGACTATTTCTCTCTTCAGAAATCTTCTTCCTCTCTTCTTCCTCTCGGAGGAGATTAATTCTTTTCTTCTCCTGTCATTTTTTCGTCTCTCTCTCTATTTCTTTCTCTCTCTCTCTCTCTCTCTCTCTCTCTCTCTTGATGGTGTCGGTTTCTTCCTTCTGTCTGCAATAATCGTTACTCTATAACGCACGTGAGAAATGAAGTAAAAACTATACCCGTCTCATTACGGTTTCAATCTGAATAGCGCGTGCGCGTTAATCATATGATAAAAAAAATAAAAAATAAAAAATAAATGTTTATGCGGAAATGATGTTTTTTCTTGAGAGAAAACTTCGTAACACACGTTGTTGTTTGAGAAATTTCGTTCGACACACATCTCGCATTATACTATCGTGAAAGTTTAGGTTTATCTCGTCGTGAGATATTTGTTGGGACCGATCTCTTTTTCGATAGGAGGGAAGGTTTGTTCTCGCATTACGTTTGTTCTCGATTCTTGTGTGTGTATTTGGTCTAATGGGTATATGTATAATCTCTTGTTGTTCTTCGTTATAACAGAATATTTCGATATAACTTAACTTCGTGGCTTTTTAATCACATTGCTGTGTTACGTATCGTAAGATTGTTTCGACGTCAGTCCGGATAAAAAGATACGATCGAGCGTGTACACTCGGTGAAATAATTTTCTCTTTCTTTCTGTTTTTGTCAACAGTCGCGGCGGAAGAACCCAAAGCGGAGGGGGGAAAATTTAGATGACCTGAAGCAAGAGTTGGACATAGACTTTCACAAAATCTCTCCCGAAGAACTGTATCAGAGATTTCAGACGCACCCCGAAAACGTAAGTAAAATAATTGCGCGCTAACGCGCAAACGAACTATATTTTGAGGTCAGATGAAATTTGTTAGTTTAGCGAAAAGAAAATTTTTATAAACGTTCACGTGTTGCAAACAACATGCGATGTTAATGAGAGATTTAAAAACAAAAAAAAAAAAACCTACCGCAGGGCCTCAGCCACGCGAAAGCGAAGGAAAATCTGGAAAGAGACGGGCCGAACGCTCTAACACCGCCGAAACAAACGCCGGAATGGGTGAAATTCTGTAAGAACTTGTTCGGCGGTTTCGCCCTACTGTTATGGATCGGTGCGATCCTCTGCTTCATCGCGTACTCGATCCAGGCCACGACGAGCGAGGACCCGAACGACGACAATCTCTACTTGGGCATCGTCCTGGCGGCGGTCGTAATAGTCACGGGTATATTCTCGTATTATCAGGAAAGTAAATCGAGCAAGATTATGGAGTCGTTCAAAAACATGGTACCGCAATTCGCCACCGTGATCAGGGAAGGTGAGAAACTCACTTTGCGTGCGGAGGACCTCGTGCTGGGTGACGTCGTTGAGGTTAAATTCGGCGACCGGATACCGGCCGACATCAGGATCATCGAATCCCGTGGATTCAAAGTGGACAACAGCTCGCTGACCGGCGAGTCCGAACCGCAATCGAGATCACCCGAGTTCACGAACGAGAACCCGCTCGAGACGAAGAATCTCGCATTTTTCTCAACAAACGCGGTGGAAGGCACGGCGAAAGGCGTGGTGATCTGCTGCGGCGATCAGACGGTAATGGGACGGATCGCGGGTCTTGCATCCGGCCTTGACACTGGTGAAACGCCGATCGCCAAGGAAATCCATCATTTTATTCATCTCATCACAGGCGTTGCGGTCTTCCTAGGTGTCACGTTCTTCGTCATTGCCTTCATTCTCGGTTATCACTGGCTCGACGCCGTTATCTTCCTAATCGGTATCATTGTGGCGAACGTACCGGAAGGTCTTCTAGCTACCGTCACTGTGTGTCTCACCCTGACCGCCAAGCGTATGGCCTCCAAGAACTGCCTAGTTAAGAATCTCGAGGCCGTGGAAACCTTGGGTTCGACCTCGACCATTTGCTCGGACAAGACCGGAACGCTCACGCAGAATCGTATGACGGTGGCGCACATGTGGTTCGACAATCAGATCATTGATGCCGACACTACGGAAGATCAGTCCGGTTTGCAGTACGACCGCACCAGTCCAGGATTCAAGGCGTTGGCCAAAATCGCTACTTTATGCAATCGCGCCGAGTTCAAGCCCGGTCAGGAAGGCGAACCAATCCTCAAGCGAGAAGTGAACGGCGACGCTTCCGAGGCCGCGTTACTCAAGTGCATGGAATTGGCGTTGGGCGATGTTATGGGCATTAGAAAACGCAACAAGAAAGTCTGCGAGATTCCGTTCAATTCAACCAATAAGTATCAAGTATCCATACACGAGTCGGACGATCCTAACGATCCGAGACATCTGTTAGTAATGAAAGGCGCTCCGGAAAGAATTCTCGATAGATGCTCAACCATATTCATCGGCGGCAAGGAAAAAGTAAACAAAATTGAGATTTATCTGATATATAGATTTATATTCTTTTGTATGTTTTATATTCAACTGCATACTTTGTATTTGTATACGCGTAGGTTCTCGACGAGGAGATGAAGGAGGCGTTCAACAACGCGTACTTGGAACTGGGCGGACTTGGTGAAAGAGTGCTCGGCTTCTGTGATTACACACTGCCGTCCGATAAGTTCCCGGTTGGCTTCAAGTTCAACTGCGATGATCCCAACTTCCCGGTCGACGGGCTCCGCTTTGTGGGCCTGATGTCTATGATCGATCCGCCCCGGGCTGCCGTGCCCGACGCGGTCGCCAAGTGCCGTTCCGCCGGCATTAAGGTCATCATGGTAACCGGTGACCATCCGATCACTGCCAAAGCCATTGCCAAATCTGTCGGCATCATCTCTGAAGGTACGTCTTACGCATACCCCGCGCGTTTTGTTGTATCCACACAGCGCAATTAATCGTTATGACAGATCGGATAACATTAGACGCTTATCAGCCCGTATCTCTGAGAGACCTAATCGTCGATCTCGCTTATGACGCTCTTATGCGTTTAATCTTTTAATGAGGCATGATTTCAGATAATAGATCGTCACGCTTAAAATTCATGACAATCCTATTTTTACACACGGAACTCGAAGCGGTTTTACTGGAAGTCTGTGCCAAGTTCATATTTTCTAAAACGGTTTAAAACGGATATGACGCAATGACGATATTAAATCTATTTTTTTTAATCGATGACCGCAAATATTTTTTACGGGACGAAGAAATAACTATTTTATTTTAATAAACGACGAGAGAATTTGAATTTGCTGAATTTGATATGTATGTATGTGTGTGTGTGTGTGTGTGTCTACATAATTACTTTGTTTATCAGGTAACGAGACCATCGAGGACATTGCGCAACGATTGAATATTCCAGTATCCGAAGTAAATCCTCGTGAAGCTAAAGCCGCCGTCATTCACGGAACCGAACTCAGGGAACTGAACTCTGACCAATTGGATGAGATTCTCAGATACCACACTGAAATTGTGTTCGCCCGTACCTCGCCTCAGCAGAAGCTCATCATTGTTGAAGGCTGCCAGCGAATGGGCGCAATTGTTGCCGTAACTGGTAAGTATCTACTTCGAAGAAAAATCTTAAATAGCAAGATTTTAATTAAAAATTAAAGAAGATAATATTTATTTGTTACAACACTGATAAAGTGTTCACGATTGTGATGTGCATATGTTAAGCAATTGTTTAAATTTCTTTTAGGTGACGGTGTGAATGATTCGCCTGCTCTGAAAAAGGCTGACATCGGTGTTGCCATGGGCATCGCCGGTTCGGACGTGTCCAAGCAAGCGGCTGACATGATTCTGCTCGACGACAACTTTGCCTCGATTGTAACAGGCGTTGAGGAGGGTCGCTTGATTTTCGACAACCTGAAAAAGTCAATTGCGTACACCCTGACCTCGAACATCCCCGAGATCTCGCCCTTCCTGGCGTTCATCCTCTGCGACATTCCTCTGCCGCTGGGTACCGTCACCATTCTCTGCATCGATCTTGGAACCGACATGGTGAGTGACGACGAGAAACGCCGCAGTCGTCGAAGGGACGACAAATCGCGCGAAACAATCGTCGACATTTGGAAGAGCGTTCTGCGTGTCGCATTAAGCTCTCTTCCAAAGTCGTTATTCGTTTTCTCTCTTTTTTAACTAATCTAAGATTTTTATTTTAGCACTTGTGCCCGTCATTGATTTAACTCATTGAATTTTTATATTTACATTAATAGATTGTATTAAAGCATAGTATATATCTCGGGAAACCCATCTCGGACCCACATGGATTCTGGACGTCGATCAGCAACTTCTTCGAAATTTATTCTGCGCCTGATAATAATTCTTTTTTTTTTTTGTAGATAGCGATACAACGGATGGCCAATTAGCGCTGACGCATTAATCTCTATAATATTTTTAATTTTTTTTTTAGACGAATTACACTTTAATGGAGAGAACTCGTACACGTGTGTGTATGTATACGCACGTGTGCGTATATGTGTACACACGTATGTATTACATTGTTGTGTAGAAATAAGCGGTGTGTTCCGGATACATTTAATCTTACAGGGATTTTAAATCACACGAAAGTTGTGTGCGGGTAATATGTGTAATCGTAATCATAAGCGAGTTTTTAGTTTACATCTATACTTAGGAATAGAGACGTTTAACCAACGTAAAGATACACCCATAGATACGAACATTTCTTTCCAGGGACTTTTGTATCTTTGTGAAAAACAAAGCGCTTGTTGTTCCGTGAGATCGACCACCGCGACTATCCCCCGAACTTCCTTTGATATCTCTCTCCCAGAATTGGTTTTTAATACTTTGGTTTTTTTTTTTTTTTAATTTTTTTTCAGTTGATTATCTTTTGTTTATTCTCTTCATCGCGCGTGTAAGAATGCTGCCGCTGTCCCGATCCAATTTTTTTTCACACGAGATTGTTTATACATCAAAGGAATGTATGGCAGAGATTAATAGCTTTTCATTAATAGTTTTTTTTTTTTTTTAAAAAAAAAAAAAGGTACTTGCGTACAGCGTTAGCGTTCTTACTTCGGCGCATCATCGGAAGATATACTCGTTATTTAATTATTGGTGTTGTTACTGAGCTCTTTGATAATGTGACATCAGGTACCCGCCATCTCGCTAGCTTACGAGGAGGCAGAAAGCGATATTATGAAGCGACAACCACGAAACCCCTTCACTGACAAGCTAGTTAACGAAAGGTAACACATTAATAAACTTACAAACGAATATTGACAAGCTACATGAGACTTTCTATTGGTTCGAAAGGGTCATCGGTGATGATATGCTGTATTTTCGAAGTCTTCACTTTTCGATTAATTTAATTAAGCGAATCAAGAATGTCGCAAAAAAAAAAAATAAACATACAATAATAGTTCTTCCTTTTTTTTTTTCAGTTTTAAGAGACGTTTCTCTCTGAGAGAGACGTTTGTTTGCTTGAAAACGCGAGCAGAACTTCGAAAATTCAATCACACGACGATTGCTCTCTCACTCTTATATTGGCTCTCTTTCTCTCACTTCCTTTTTTATTTTTTTCTGGTGACTTTTGGTAGTTAGTTTTGTGTTTATATATTTTTCTATCATATGTGATACTTGATGCGAGATGCATACTTTTTCGGTCTTCTTTCTTGGTTCTTTCTTGCCATTTTATTATATTTAAGGGAAATGTGAAACTTGGGTAACGCTTTACGCGGGGCAAATTAATTCCTTGCATATAAATGATTAATGCGTTTGTTTTTTTTCTTTTTACTTCTCCTGTTCTCTCTCTCTCTCTTTCTCTTAGCCGAGATCTTATATTTACGCTCGATGCTAGTTGTACTGGGCAATACTTTCGTGTTATCTTTTTCTTTCCAAGTATTTTCTCTTTCTCTATCTCTCTCTCTCTCTCTCTCTCTTTCTTTTCGCAAGTATTGAACAGTACAAAAACTAGTTCCTCTTCTTCTACTATTTTTCTTTTCCCTTTTAAATTACGGCTTGAATTAGTTTGGTCATTGCCGCCAAGGCCACTCGATAAGACTCACGCAATGTAGGGATTAAATTTATCATGCCCGAGTTGTCGAGAGTCGAACGTACTAGGACGTGGATAAGGTAAAAGCGGATTATGGTGCACGCAGATGCAACTTTTCCAGGGTGTTTATATTCGCTAGAACACACGCGAGCTTTGTTTTCAGTTGTCCGATTTTTTCTTCTCTCTATTTTTGTATACTCGCTCTATATTATAAATAAGTTGAAATTTTGTATCCCGTTTAAAACACAAGGGATCTACAAGGTGTGTAAAAAAAAAACGCTTCAATTTTGCTACTGCATTTTGTTTACCGAAAATTTATTAATGCGTATCTTGTCACTTTGCACAATAAATTTTGTCACGTCAGCGTACACTTTGACGTACTAATTCCGAGTGATTGTCTACTGTCTATCATGCAGTTCCCTTGTAAACAACGCTTGCTCGTTCGTGATTTGTTCCAAAATGATTTATTGTTTTACAAAAAAAAAAAAAAAAAAAAAAAAACTAATGGTAAGCTAACAAAAAGTAATCGTGGATTGTGTATTTCAAGTAACTTAATCAGAAAAGCCGAGCAACTTTCTGTTATTTCTTTTATATATATTTTTGTAAAAATATATTTATTTATATATATTTATTTGTATATTTTTATATATATATTTTTTTTTTGTGTCACAAAAAAGGAGCGAGACACGAGCCACTTCTTTTCTCCAAAGAATTTTCTTCTTACTTTTATATTGATAGGCGCTTTTCATCACAATGATCCTTAATCGTAATTAGTATTGTTTCATTACGTCGAAGGTAAGATAAATCTCACTGTAAAGCCTCTCTCTCTCTCTTTCTCTCTCTCTTTCTCTCAGTTTTCTCATTTTTGATATGTACAAAGTGCTCATTATTATACTTATCTCTAATTTTTATTTCCTGTACAAGCTCAAATATCTCCTCATCGTTGTTTATGAGCCTCTCTGCAGTTGTCATTCATCGTGATTTATTGCCACTTGGCTTGAGGTGTACATGTGCTGAGAACGTCCACGAAATCTAGACAACGTCATTGTGAACTCGCATGATCGTTCTTTTCAGATCTTACCTGTATCTCTATCTCTCTCTCTCTCTCTCTTTCTCTCTCTTTCGTTTCTGTTTTTCTTTTCAAATCGGTCTCTTTCTTTTTTTTATCACCATTTCTATTAGTTTGTTTTTTTTTTGTTTTGTTTTTTACACACAAGCTCTCTCTTTCTTTTTTTCTTTCTCCTTCTGTCATAAAAACGCATATATGGTTTTATATAAAGTGCAAAAAGTACGTACGTATATAATGTTACGTTCGTGTTCGTTAACGAACACGAAACAGTAACGGAAACGTAACAGTATCTTCTTGTATATTTTATATCTCTGTATTTCTCACGTCTCTGCATTCGTTTTTGATTTCAACTATTTGTTTATGTCGTTTTTCACGATGATTTCATCTCTCTGATTTATCAATCTCTCTTTTCCTTTTCATCATCATCGTCGCGTTCTATCGCTGTAAGTTTTTTATTAGCCTCTCCCTATCTTTATATCGTGACTATATATCGTGAATGCAAGGGATCATTATCTATATATATTGTGTTGTGAATATTTTGCGATATATACATATATATATGATGTGCAACTTGTTTTTTACTTGATACATTTATACGTATATATTTTGCGAGCCTACCTGTTGTACCAACACGATATTCGTGAGAAGACATAGAGATTAAATACAATAAGGAAGAAGTTTTCGCACGTTTCGGAAGTTCGTAAGAGTATAAAACGGTAGTACTTCTCCTCTTTTTCTTCTAGTAGTAGTAACTATTAAGTAGAATAGCATTGTGAGACTATAGAAAAATAGTGTTGTCATTCGACCATCGGTTTGCATCCACATGAAACGTAATTCTCTCTCTCTCTCTCTTTTTTTTCTATCTCTTTTCTTTTCCTTTGTTTATATCTTCTTTTGTCTAACTGTCTGTCTATCTTCTTCCATCTTCCCGGCTGCCTTTATTGCCTCGGGCCAGGTTTTTATCGTTGCTACGCCTCGCTCAGGAAAATTCTTTCGCTCATGAAATTCTTTTCAACTGGAAATTTTGGATCATTCATTATGGCTTAGCGAATTCATCCAACGATCCAACGGTGTGAATGAAACAGGAAATATTGAAAACAAAAAAAAAGAGCGATTGATGTAAGATGTTTTTTTGTTTTTTTTTTTAAACATCTTTGTTATTTATTTATTTATGTCAAATCGAAAATGTCATAAGAAATGGACTTTAACGATTTTACACAGCAGATACATATTAGCTAGATTGCTAGATCGATCGAAGTGACGGATGCAAAATATGTGTGCATTTTTTTCCAGCTTTTCTTTTTTCTCTTTTAGAGCAGTAACAATTCTTTTCTCCTATCTTTCGAAGATTATTTCGAAGGGAAACTATATCAGATTCTGCATCGTATATAAGCAATTATCATCTCTTTCGCCATTAATTAAAGCAACAATTGTCCCCCCCACAAGGAGGGAACCTTGCAAACCTCAAAATTATAATTTAACAAAACTTGTCGAAACAAATGTAAGTCGGAACAAATATATAAATTTAGAATTTTTACATTTGCGGTAAAAAAAAAATGGTTCAAAGAGGTAAATCACTCCAGAAGTAAAACATGAAGTTTTGCACCTCGAAACCGGTTTTTTTTGCGCCGTAATAGAACAAAATTGATAAATTTACCTATTTGCTCGACCTACTACTTGTGTGCAGAGTTTCATTAAAATTAAAATTTTCCGGTTCGCGAGATCTCTTTGTCAGTCACTTTGCAAATCAGTATAAAAAAAAAAAAAAAAAAAAAAAAAAGTTTCGTCGACGAGATTGCTTCGGTAAAACGTGATAAAAATTTTATTTCAAACAAAACGCGCTTTCGGACTGTAAAATAACGAAATTTTTTTCGTTCGAATGCACTGCAGTCGACGAAGCTCAATTTTTAACCAGCTACTAGTTGAAATTTAATCGATCGTGCTCCTGAAAGAATTTCGCCGCAAATAAATAAAACAGACAAAAATGAAAACGACATTTCTAAGTAGAATAATGTAACATGTTTTTCTCTTCGCTGAAGTTAGATAAATCTTTTTTTTTTTTCTTTTGAGTTGTGGCAAGTTTCTTGCGGGAGTAGCATATATTATGTATATAGATATATGTATATACACATGTGTATAATATATATATACTCTTATATATACATATATACTTATATACTTATAATATGTATATTTTTTACATTAACGATATGTATACATATATTTATGCATATCTTGTCTTAGTCTTTGATGCACTTGAGTAATTATTATCTCATCATTATTCTCTTGTGTCCTTCTCTCATTAGTCTTATTATTATCATTATTATATTACAACCACAAGCCAGCACTTATATACTTAATACAAGCCATTACTTATATAGTTACTAAAAATTTTTATACTGCCAGTATATATACTGTTTTTATCTTACCATATATATACATATATATATATAAATATAAATATATATGTATATATATATTATATCACAGCTGCCGCTGCGCTACTATACTTCTATATTTACTACTGTACTTACTATTTACTGTACTGTTTATTATATACTTGCCACCAGTATCAATATATACATATATCCACTCTCTCGAAAAGAAAGCGAACACTTTTGTACAATTTTTGAGCGTTATAAATTTTTTCTTGCAGTTTTTTTATACATTCTTTACAGTCCTCTCACGTTTTATTCTGTAATGCGCTGCCTACTGCCGCTGCCTTCTACCCACTTCTACGACTGGCCACTTTCTAATGGATTGTATATTCTTAATTTACATGATCTCGCCAAAGAAAATAATTCCCAAAACAAAACGAAAAAAAAAAAAAAAGAAAAAAAAAAGAAAACAAGACGAGAGCTTGATGCGCAAACATTGAGTGTGGAGGAGAACGTGGGATAATCACCCCCTGCAATTCTCTCATGCGCGCGAAACGCAAATTCTTGCCTTTGGCATTGTTGCCTTTGACTTCTTCTTGATATCTTGACGAACGACTTTTATGACAATGAAAGTTAACGTGCATCAGGGGATTGCGCTATTGTTTGTATTTACTAACGAAAAACTATGCTTAAGAATCGTTCTAACTCGAAAGCGCACGAAAGAGAAGAAGGGATCTCCCTCACTCGCGTCTCAGAGATGCTCGACGTATGCGTATAATATATATATATATGCGTCTAATTTATCCTCGCTCGTCAGTTGTTAATTAGTTATTTTTTTGGCATCTAGGTAGGCTTTTTTGATATTATTAGAATAAAAATATTCTATTGGTCATTTGTTTCAAGTTAAAAATTTAGGATTTGATTGTTTTATCGTGTCTTTTTTAGCCAAGTTTACAATATACGTAGTTTATTGCAATAATGTTTTATAGAATTATATTGTAACGCTTTTACTTTGATGTTTCATCGAGCATCGCTGAGAAGTAGAATAGTTTAGTCGAAAATTGCGACAGCCGGTGATTGGAGATTTGCAGCACGAGAACGCTAAGTGGAAAAGGGACGCGAGAGATCCTGCGCGTGTGTGCGATTTTCTCTCATTTGCGACCTTTTCTCACTTAAGTTTCAATTAATGGCACATTTGATTTTTCTCAATCTCACTCGTTCCGGGCTTAATTCTGGGCCGTCTCTTTCTTTTTTTCTCTCTCTCTCTCTCTCTCTTTCTCTTTCTCTCTTTCTCTAAACGCAGCGCATAATCTTTTGATATACGCACAGATACACTCGCCAAATGTTTGTCATTTTGACTCTCCGGGTTCTTTTTGCTACACTTTAATGCAATTTTTCGGCACAAGTTTTTTGCAAATAACGCAATTGTACACAATCTTATATATAACATGTCTTTAAAGACAGGCTGCGTTTAGGATGGAATTGGTTGCGGCGATTGTTTTCTCCCTCCGCCAGAAAAGCAAAAACGCTTCATCGCCGCATACGTAGCATAAAAGAAAAAAAAAAAAAGATCATTTCTCACAAGAATTCGGAAAGAATCGTATTTATATATTGCCAATATCGATTTCTTTCCATCGCATTTGTCGTCTCATATATGCGATAATTTTTATTATTACCTTACATTTATGTGCGACACGTACATAAATCACGCGCGAAACGCTAAATTGACCTGTGCGTTCTCCAAATCTCTCCTATCTCTTTCGCTCGCACTTGCGCATTTGTGCCGAACGGTGATGTGTACATACATAAAAATGTCATAATAATATTAAATGTCATATAACTTGTTTTGTAAAGCGGTGGGGGTTAACAAACACTTTCTAATTAATGGTGGATGGCAGGTGCCGGCCATCTCGCTAGCCTACGAGGCACCGGAGTCGGACATTATGAAACGGCAGCCACGCGATCCTTACAGAGACAATCTTGTCAACCGAAGGTGGGTCTTCTAATTACCCACCCACAAAAAGAGAAACCAGCAAGAATCTAGTGCACTCACATCCGTACCGTACTAAAAGTCGACTAAGTTTTTTTTTTTTTTTATTTATTTTTTTTATTTTTTTTATATATATATATATGATCGACGTGCCATCATTTTATTACTCGTATGTCTCACACACACAGACACACACACAGATACCACATTGTCTCTCACTCACACAAGTGTAGTCACACGCGATGGGCATGCGATGTTACGTTAATTTGAAATTTGAAGCATGCGACGATAATTTCGAATCCACATTTATTGTATTCTAAGCGTGTTACCTTAGTATTATTATTGATGCACCACTGACTCTACGCCGTACGTTTTTTTTTTCTATTGTTGTTTTTATTTTTATACTCTACTCTCTGTGAGTTAAAAAAATGTTTTACAATTATACTCTGTGTGAAAAATTTTCACTTTATATATGTGTGTGTATGTATATATATGTGTAAACATTTAAATTTATTATTTATACGTTGATTATTTTACACTGAAATATATACACCAAGTGCCTATTGGAGAGATTACATAATCTTGATTTCGTGATCGGGAACATTTACATTTGCGAAACAGTTCAGAATATTGTTCCGGGCGATTGGAAAATTTTTGTTTTTTTTTTCGCGACGAAAATGAATTTCGACGTTTTAATTTCTCGAGAGATTGTCGCATATTTCAATTTCAATTTCGGAATTATTTATATAAATTTTTCGGAACATTGCATGTCTGTCGACGCCATTCGCTAGGGTGGTCAAACGCGATTAATTTCTCCACAAGTAGAAATAACAACTAAAAACCGTATTCCTTATTGCCTGATATCAGTAAAATTGATTTAGTTACACCAAATAATAATTAACAGATAGTTTAGACGAGATAAAACTGTGATTAGAAAATATTACATGTAAATAATTCACGATGATGGTGAAATAACATTAAATATATCGACGAGATTTTTTACTTTGACGGCACCACGTAGAGCGCTTTTTCAAACAATTGACTGCTCTAACGATACTAATTCGACACCTACATACACACATTGAATGTGTTCTATCTAGCCTAGTTAGGAAACATCAGTCTTTCCAGGATTATCTGTGTTGTGAATAGTGCAATACGCGTTTCTCTCTGTATTCAATAATGGAAATAATCCTGGGAACGACTTTAGTGCAATTCTAACTTGCAACGCGATGTGTACAAACGAAACTCACACACGACACAATAACAAGATGTGTAATACACAATAACAATTATATATATATATAACAGAGTGTCTGCTGAGATCACAGTGAGATGCGATCATAATTTCTATATAAATCGTCGGTAAAATCAACAACGACCAGAAAGACTTCAATTTCTCTCTTTCTCTCTCTCTCTCTCTCTGTCTCTCTTTCGAAGTGTGTCTTGATCTCGGAGATACAATTTGTAGGTGGACACTCTGCGCTCTGCTTTCGATATAGAAAAACTTAGACTCGATTCTTAGAAATCTTAGTTGACTAGCATAGAGAGCACAATGCAAGTTTTTTTACTTACAGAGGAAAGTTCTTTCAAGTGTTGAGAATGCCGAATGCTTGTTCTTAGAGATCTCTTTCTTTCTGTTTCTCTCTCACCCGGTCAATCACTAACACACGCTGCGATCTTGATCGTTTTTTACAGCTTGAGATTATATTAATTTGTTCCTATATATATATAGTCGTTTTACGCTGGATGTACACGGAAAAAAAAAAGATGATGTTGAATCAACAGTATCAGTTTAATTGAAATATATCCTGTTGATGCAACATCATTATTATTGCACTATATACACAGCAGATGGTTGCTTTAAGAATCTAGACATTAAATTAATCGCATATGCAATTGAATGAACTATTTATTTTTTTAACAGCCCGTGACGTCAACTTTAATTGAAGCAACTCCATTTTTTTTTTCTGTGTACGTTCGCGTATCGCGAGAGAATATTCAGATCGGAAGAGAATGTCGTGGAAGTCTTTTTATCAGTCTGTCAAGTTACTTATTTCGGATATGTGTGTATTGACGCTCGGAAAAGATCGAATATATGAAAAATTATTATCTCTCTGTATTATAACAGTGTCGCGAACTCTTGTTCTCCGCCGATTCGTACGATCCAACATTCGCCTCTGAAAATTTTGATTATAGTTTCTGTCTTACCTACACACACGCGTGCTAATGAAGGAAGTTTTATAACTTTACTTACTTTAATTGCAAAGTGTAGTTTATTTCCAATATATTTTTCGCGTGTTATTTATTATTCCGTAAAATATAAAATTTTCAAAGATCGATATCGGCGCGACGGATCTTTTGACGGTCGAGACAAGAGAATGGGATCATCACGTTTGTATGTACGGAAGAAACGCGATTGCCGGAGCGGTAGGAATATCGCGAGCGCACGTTCCGAATGTTTTTCTCCGTTTGATCTCGTCATTTTTTTTTTTCTTTTTTTCTCGTCGACGTAGGAAGTCAATTTTGATGTAGTCTCGGGAAGAGCGGAGCTTTTGAAAACACGAGCAACGCGCGACACGGTCTTAATGCAAACAGCCTTCTCTCTTCTTTTTTTTTTCTTTTTTTTCCACTGTGACGAACGAGAAACACGATCTCTTTACTCTCACACGCGTTATCGGTCGCTCTTTCGCGCGCTCCGCCACTTTATCGCATCCGAACGTCAGAATTTTCAATGTCGTGCGAGCGACAGGCAACGTTAGTCTAACGCAAACTTGACATTTCGCTCTTCGCACACGCTTCGTACAAAACGCTAACTCTCGAACCGAACTCTCTCTCTCTCTAATAATCCTTTTCAGTCTGTCTGCGCTTTCATTGATCCGGCCGAGTCAGCTCTCCACCGGCCCACAGTTCGATCAAACTTACTCGATTTAATTTACATCTATCGTCGCACGAATGCGAACGCATGCGACTCATCCAAGCTTGACTCTCGCACAGATTTTCACTGCATGATGGTTTTTTTTTTTTTTTTTTTTTTTATTATTTTTTACAACACACCGTTGAGAATTTGATGTTCCGAGTCACGTTTATTAAGTGTGTGTGTGCGCAACGAGCGATGACGTGCAGGACTTTTAGTGCGACAAATTTTTTTATTTGCGAACGCGCGAAGAACAAACGGGAATTCGAGATACGATGCGGTTTTATCGTTCTGATAAAACTGTATCTTATCAAACTCTCGTAACTCTCGTCAATTGTTTTATAGATCGCACTTTTTGCTACCGCTTCTCTGTTTAATCGCAAAGAAGTCAAGAACGTGCAGTTTTTTTTTTTTTTTTTTTCTGTCTTTGTTGTTTCGAAGTAGCGCTAAAAACTAAGCTCTGTTCTCATTCGACGATTGATAATATCTCACGATTAGACACGAACGATTTGACCGGAGATATGTTGATCGTCACGAGAGAAATCTCGAGTTATACTTGCAACTAGAAAATAGAAATAGATTCAGCTTCCATTAGTTTAGAAAAACCTTAAAAAAAAATCACAAAAAATATCCAAAGCATTAGACGTTGCAGATGCGATGACCATCTCTTCTTGTGTACTAAATTTCTCTCCTTGCGATATAGGACGCTTGCTCTTACGCCATGTAATTTAATTGTCTTACCAATCGATAGATCGCTTCGATGTTAAAACACTAACTCAAGCTGAATCGGATGCGTACAGGGTAAGCTTTTTTGTTTTTTGTTTTTTTTTTTGACTGACCACGCGAGATAATTGATTAGAAATTTAATATACGGAAACGTGGTAGCTTTTCGCTATTTAAATAGTGCGTTTCGTACAAAGCCTCTCTCTGTGAGAACTGACAAGCAACTGGCTACATTTCTATCTCTTGCCTGCCTGTCTGTTTGCCTATCTGTCTATCCGTCCAAATCTGTCCGTCTCTGTACTCACTCTGTGTGGCATGCTTCATTGTCAAGAATGAACCGATCGTTAACCGTTCGCCTATTCGTGTCGGTAAGTAATCTCAGCAATTTGCTTTCTAACTGATAACAACGGCTTTTGTAAATTTAACGTGAGACTAGAGATTTGTTAGAAAGTAACATCGAAGTTCGATGATGCTTCCTGATAGATTTCGAGGAATCTTGAGTCGTGTCTGGTCCAGGGAGATGAAATAAAGCGGTTCAAAAATCATACTTTGAGTCGCGAAGAAATTAATGTTAATTAAATTAATAATTTTTTATTTAAATTTTTCAATCTCTTAAAATTTTGCACATAGTTCTTGAATTTTGCACATACTACACTTCGTCGATTGCAAGAGAATAAAATTGTTTGTATTGAATACGGTGAAGTTTTTATACGACAAGAGATTCCTCGAAATTTAATCGTCGTTTGCATTAAGAAGGAAATATTTCAAATCGACATTTCTTTATCTAGGCTTATTTCGATGGCATACGGTCAAATCGGCATGATTCAAGCTGCGGCCGGTTTCTTCGTTTACTTCGTAATCATGGCTGAAAACGGATTCTTGCCCACGTATCTGTTCGGGATTCGAAAACAATGGGACTCCAAGGCCATCAATGATCTTACCGATAGCTACGGCCAGGAGTGGGTGAGTGTAACGGAATTTCACAAAATTGTGGCTCGATATTTCAAGACGCTCGGAAATTTCATAAATTCAAATTTTTCGTTTTCGTCAAATTTGTTTGTTTGTTTGTTTTTTTTATCGAGTCGAACGAGAATATCACACCGTACGGGGGTTTATTTTTTGCAGACCTACAGGGATCGCAAGACATTGGAGTTCACCTGTCACACAGCTTTCTTCGTGTCGATCGTGATCGTACAGTGGGCTGATCTGATTGTTTGCAAAACACGTCGCAACTCGATTATTCACCAAGGAATGAGAAACTGGGCTCTGAACTTCGGTCTCGTATTCGAGACCGCCCTCGCTGCGTTCCTAAGTTACACGCCCGGCATGGACAAGGGTCTTCGTATGTTCCCACTCAAGTACGTACGCACGTTTTTGTGAGATATTCGATTTCTCAGCACGCACACGTGTACAATTGACATTTTAAAACAAAACAAAACAGAAATATTTCATCATGAAAATAACGTGAAAAAAACTCGCTTCCATTGCAGATTCGTATGGTGGCTACCAGCTCTGCCATTCATGTTCGCTATCTTCATTTACGACGAGACGAGACGATTCTACCTCCGCCGAAATCCAGGCGGTTGGCTCGAGCAAGAAACTTACTATTAAACACAGCGAGGATTAAAATCACACGCATGCAAAGCGCGCGCGCAAGAGGATGAGTGAACGTACGAGAGAGCGAGAGCGGGAGAGAAAGAAGCCGAGAGAGAATGATGATGAGAGAGAATGAAAAAACGCATACTCACACTCTTGAGAGATATATCGGAACAAAGACAGAAAAATAAATAAATAAAAAAAATTTTAAAAATTAAAAAAAAACAAATCACTCATGTTGAACAGATAAAAAAAAAAAAAAAAAAACACGTTTCACGAGAGATGTGCTATTGGGTCTGTCCGCGTGATCGAAAGAAACAAACAAACGGGAAAATGGACAAGGAAAGGTGCGTTTAAGTTTCGGCGCTGACTTTCACACGGCGAAAGACGCGCGAGATTTATTTATGTTTAGACACGGAGAAGACCCTCTAGCGTCATAGGTGCAGCGCAAGGTACAAAAAACAAAAAAACAAAAAAAAAAACAAATAATAAAGCACGCTCGTCGTTCTGGCTTTGCTGCCAATTGCTTGCACGCGCGTGTCGAGTTCCGTAGAAGTCGCAGAAATTGTTCGGGAGATCGTCAAGAAGATTGATCATCACTATGCAGACGATGCCGACGACGGGAAAGCCGCGCTTTCCGCCTCGCGTTCAACGACACGTTGGCTACGAAGCTTTCCGCTGACGATTGGTACTAACTGCTGGTGCTGTTCAATTCTTGGACGGGAATTATGCTCTGCGAGTGTCGCTCGAAGATGGAACGAAGAAAGCAAGACAAGAGCAAAAACCGAAAAGGGGAGAATAGGAAGTCGCCGAGATAAGTAGCGCTGCAGTGCGACTGGTGCACAAGTGTCAGGCCTAAAGAAATGTGGTAAACGTGATGTAGTAGAAACGCGAGAAGAAGAAGAAAAAGAAGAAAAAGAGAAGAAGAAGAAAAAGAAGAAAAAGAAGAAAGTCCGACCGAGGAACGACAGAGAGGAGATCCGGAACGTTAACGAGAACGAACACACACTTGAACAGAGACGCGGCGTTAACGTGCGATAGAGAATCACGAAATCACGTGCATTCTTATGCATGCCGAATGCAGATTATTACATCTTAACGCGACTTCTGATTAATTAGTGTATTATCGTAGACACCATTTGCGTTACCGAGAAAAAAAAAAAAATAAACTTCGTACTAGGCTTTCGTTGATCGTCGATCAATACGCGCAAATACCGCTACGTTAAGATCGGCACGCGTAACACGCCCTTTCATTGAAGGGAAGAATTTCACAAGTTGAAGGTAAGAGGAAGGAAAAAAAAGACTCGCGTAAAGAATAATAAAACATACAATTACGAGACACAAACAACAACAACAACAAAAAAAAAAAAAACAAGAGCAAACCAAAAACAGAAGTGCTCAATATGTAACAAGAGAAACCGTTAAAAATAAAAATAAAAATAAAAAAAAAAAAACCAGAATTTTTAGGTATCTCACATGACACCGAAGTACTTCGTAATAAAACTCTAATTAATTGTTAATTATATAATGAAGGACCTGTGGTATGATAGATATCGGCACAGTCTATAGTTATACTAAAAATAACTATAGTTATAATAACTAAAAATACAGGGGAGAGCGTTATTATATGAGGTAAATAACTAAATAAAGTAATAAATAAAAAAAAAAAAAAGAAAAATATAATTATAAAATAAAGTCTCATTCGCAGTATTCTCATTATTATTGATAAAACGATATCCGTTCGGTTTCGAGTCTTAATAACAAGTAGCTGTCAGAGAAACAAAAAACAAAAAAAAAAAAAAACGGCAAAAGCGTAGTTTCAGTAGTTACGACTCTTACTGCGGAGATAATATCACACTACATACGCGAACACACACGGGAAAGAACGGGGCGGGTGAAAGGTAAGCTCGATGATTGGATCTGAGAGTTTGTTGGTACTTTAATAATCTCGAGATCGAGAGCAGTGGGAAGAACGATATCGGTGACGTGATATAGAACAACGGTATATTATAAATACTTTTATCAATTGGATCACGCTTCCAATTGAAGACACGTTGAGAATTAAAAGTTGAAACGATATGTTATTTATCTTAAATACGATACTGAATGTGTCGCGCGCGTAAAAAAGTGATAATGTACTTACGTCAAGACTGTCCAAAACGAAAGACACACACACACCCACACACACAGATACACAAATTTTGGAATAATTAGTTCTATATTTCGCTTGTATAAGATTGAAGATTTTGCAAATGTCGTTGAACATTTTCAATGTAAAGCAATTTCATTTAAAAGGTTTGTCAGTGCAATCAGTCTTGTGTTTTTGTATCTATTGGTGCTTGCTCTAACACAAATGTTAATGTCTGCAATTTTGAATTGCACAAAACTCCGATGTGTTTATGGTATGTGGATGCTGCCGCGGCTCCATTGAGTTCAGTATCATATTTAAGATAACACTCGGATAGCAGAGCGGTGGTAGATCGCGGCCTGGTTGCCGGCGAATCGAGAAAAACAAAAAACAAAAAAAAATGAAGAAGAGAACCTGCTGCCATTCGAGAGCCATTTATTAATTATATGAATCGCGAAACGTTATTGATTAACGCGAAGAAGAGACGAGAGAGAGAAAGAGAGAGAGAGAGAGAGAGTGCACTATGCAAGATACAAAACGAGAGAGAAAGAGTGAGAGAGCAGGCCGGAAGAGCGGAGAAAGTTGGAAAAAAAAAAAGACCTTCTTACTAGATAAAAGCTAATTGATGAATATTAAAAAATTCATTTTCTTAGGTTCTCATAGATTTAAAAATGCCAGCGGGACAGCTCGCTATAAATTACTGACCCCCCGCAACGCGGAACGTCCTGTGCAGCTGCAAAAACAAAACAAAACAAAACAAAACAAAAACAAAATCGTGATCATCTCTGTCAGCCAGTCGGCGAGCGCGCTGTCCCTGTGTGTGCATGTGGTATGCGTGCGCGTGTTGTGTGTGGTGCATGTAGTGTTGAAAATTACAACAACAACAACAACAACAACAACAACAACAACGGTGACTTAAAATGTCTGCCACGCGACTTTCTTTCGGGCCGGGACGATCCGAGACTTCTCTCATCGATTCTCGCAAAACAAAACCGGACACAATATATATATATATACACATTATATTCTTTCTCTTCGTCTCCGATCTCTCTCAGTCGTTGCCCGCGTTCGTCGTGGGGCAGGGGGGGAGGGGAAGAAGAGAAGGATCACGAGCAATATTCGAGTGAACGAACTTTTTTTTTTTTTTTAACGATAGACGACACCTGGAACAGTTACGTTGGCTAATTGCGAAAGATGATGAGATCTTTTAAATACGGTCATCTATCGTTAAATAATTGCGTGAAACACTATACCGAAGGTATTCAATTCAACGCGTGACAATTGCCATTTTCTGAATTAATAATAATAACGCTTGTTTTCATTTGCGCGCGTTAGAGCAAATGTATCTTGCACAATCAAGTGTCTGCGCAATCAGCAAGAAAAAACAAAAAAACACTCGCTTGATACACACACACTTAGGTAGCGATTTCGTCAGTTATTACGAAGAAAATGGAAAAAAAAAAAATACTACAATTGCATCGTTGCGACATATCGTGTTTATTGTGTTCTACGCGCGAGGAAAAATCCGTCTTTTCTTGTCGATTGTGAGATCTCCGAGAGTTCTTCGGCGAACGCGGGCTAATGAAAAAAAAAAAAAAAAAAAAAAAAGAAAGAAAAAAAAACAACAAACGTGACCACTCGCTCGGCATCCCAGGCCCCAAAACTACCCCAAGTGTTCAATAATCTCGAGATATTCTCGAATTACCTCGTACACGCGCGCGCGCGTTATATTAAAACATGCGAAACACGTTCTTCCTTCCTCGCCGGGTTTCCTCCATCCGGTGACGCCGCTTCTCGAAGTCATCGTGCAACAACAACAACAACTACTACTACTACTTACTGGACGGTATCGCGAGCGTGCGTTTTCTCGATCATCCGTGGCTTAATTGTTTTTTTTTTTTTTTTTTTTCTCCCGTTATTTTTTTCTTTCATTTTAGAGATACAAAACGCGCGCATGAGATGATTGTGTGGAAAAACCGCGTTCTGAACGCGCGAACGACGAGACACACGAACCTCTCAAGACTACACACACGGAAGAAAGAGTCTCCGAAGAGCGGAAAGACATTTTTAAAACGTGGAACGTGTACAAGAATCAGAAATTAAAGCAACGACATCGATTATAAATTCCTACGTCGTGTTCTCAGCGCGCGAGCGAGAGAACAAAGCGGGACGCGTTGTTTCTTTCTCGAAGAGAAAAACGGATTTTCTCAGCTTTAAACGTGTGTGCAACGGTAAAGAAGCCGTTATAGAGTCGCGAAATGTTGAGCGAAGTCGAAAATCGGCAACTCTTGGAAATTCGCGATGCTTCAAAAAGTATATACATTACACACATTACACACCATACATATATCCGTCTGCCATCGGTCCAAACGGTGAATTTCGCGCGCGAAGTGTTTAATTATGCGCGAACACGTTCGTTCAACCGTAGCGTTTTCAGATTGATCGACGCAGATCCCGATTTTAAAATGAAAATTCCTCCTATGTCTGTATCATAGATAGAAAATGTAATTTTAGAATGACACTGCGCGAATGGCCGAGTCGAAAAACTTCAATTTGTAGAACTCGATTTGTAGCGTCGTGACGTGTTGTGGTTCTTCGTCGTAAAGTAATAATAATAATAAAAAATAATAAAAAAAAAACAACAAAAAATAAACATATTATTGATCGTTCCTGTCACAACGAAAATGCGAAGATTTATTAAAATGCTCTTCGTGAACACGCGACTGTTATAAACTTAATGGATCATCAACTTTCCGGATCGAATGCGAGTCAGAAAAAAAAAAAAAAACAAAGAAAGCATGTACGAGATGAGGAGAGAGTGAAAGGAAAGGGGTGGAAATAAGAAAGGAGAGAACATCTGTGTGTGCGAGAAAATGAAAGAGGGAGAAGGAAAAGGAGAGAGAGAGAGAGAGAGAGAGAAAGAGAGAGAGAGAGTGAGAGAGAGAGAGAAAGAGAGAGAGAGAGAGAGAGATAGACAGATGATATACGCGATGGATTATCTTTGAAAAGACGTATCGTGAGGAAGATACGCGGCGTTGTCGACAGGGTGTTCCGTGCCCGGGGGGCCGTAGAAGCCCATAAAAAATGCTTTGCCGTCGTGCGCCGCCTCTCTTTAGGCTAATAATTTAAATATTATTAAATAATATAATAGTAATAAATAAATAAATAAATAATAAATAATAATATATGTTACAGTAAGATATTATTAGATGTAATTATTATATATGGTTTAGTCTAGAACGTGTTGTTGAAGAAAAAAACAAAGTACGTATAAGCGAACAAAAAAAAAAAAAAAAGATTAAGGAATAGAATAGAAAAGCCACGAAACGAGAGAGAGATAAGGCGAGAAGACGGGAGGAGGGAGAAGAAAGAAGAAGAGAAAAGAGAGACAATGAATATTGAAAGAAGGGGAAACATATGCCGAGCAGGGAGGTATAGTTTCGGTCTAAGACCACACAATATTTTTGCGGTGGACTGAGCGGGATGACGCTGCGCTTAATACACGCATATATTTTTTTTTCGCGCGCGAGTAAAATCGCGCTTTATATAAAAAAAAAGCGCGCTTCATCTCTCTCTCTCGACGGAGAGAGTGCAGAAAAAAAAACACATGTTGAGCTTTCACGTATCCTCACACGCGTGATTGTTACATATTAGTCGAGAGGTGAAACAGAAGATCCTTCACTCCCGCGTAGTTGGTGCAAATTTTTTTCTCTGTTTTTTGTCCGCGCGCGTTTTTCGTTTCTGATAAAAAAAAAAACAAAGCGGCACGTGACGAGCTCTGTGTTCTTCGTTTTCTCGAGGGCGAGACGAGAGTGTCGCGATTCTCTCTCCACGATCGAGAAACACTCGCGCAATTTAACTTTCATATATACATACAAACACACACCCAACACACGAGAGTGTTTGTTTCTTTTTTCCGCGATCAGAAATCGAGGATCTTCAGCGTTTCCCGGGAAAATTTTCACACAAAGAAACAACGCCCCGCGCGCCTGCACAGCCCGCCGCATATCGTGTCTAATTCATTGAATGATTCATTGAATGAAAAAAAAAAAAAAAAAAAAAAATCTAGAAGAAGAAAAACGGACAATGTTTTATTACTATATTGTACATATTTTACATAAATTGAAAACGGATAAACAAATCACGCGCGAGCGACGATGATTCCGACCACGGAAGGCGATCTTCTTCTTCGGGAGAGAAGACCGGATTTCCGTTCACGGATTTATCGTACGTTTTTCTTGTTTTCTTTTTTTCGCGTTCAAAATATCGCATACACACACACACATACACGATCACACTCTTTACATACCGCGCGCATAGAGAGACACGGGTTACACGCTCGAATAAAAAAAAAAAAAAAAATGACACGTTACTACACCGCTCCACTAGCTATATATCTACCTTCTGATTGACGATTCCTTTTCGCAATTAATTAATTATTATTATACAATAAGTTATGTTTTTACACATAACACAAATGTGAATTATATCGCAACCTGATACGGATACAACCCAAGTGTCATTACTTTTGATGTTAAATAAAAAATACATAATTAATAAAATGGCCTCCTATTGTCCCGATTTTTTCCTCTTTGATCTCCGACTTCGTCGAGAGTAATTGTTATACATTTGCGCCACGTGTTGGAATGAGTCTAGACATCTTATATAAGTTTATTAAATAATCGGCAATTATGTGCGTGTTAAGATTCTTGCAGCCCTGTAAGCTTTTGGATGTTCCCGTGAACAATTGATTCAATATCACGCGATAATTTATAATACAATAATACGCGGCTCCATGGCTATCGACGAAAATATCTTAAATAACAAAACCTTACCGTTTACAACAATTAACGTAAAAGAATCTTGATACGTGCGTGTGCGTACGATTTCTATGGCTTCGAGTTGGCGCATCTACAGCGGCCTTGCAGCAAACTGGTTGGCGGTCGTAAACTTCGATTTCCCTCCGCGACTTTACTTTCTTTAAATATTTTGTTTCCAAATATAAACAATTTTTTTGACAATTCTGACATATGCGCCAAGTAATCAAAAACTACTTCTAAAATCTTCTCCGTGTCGCGAACACGATCACAAAATGAAAACCGCCATTCGAACGTCAAATTTTCAAACACTGTATATGAGCACAGTTACGCCCTCTTGTGGTCGAGTTATCTCGGAGAGTTTCAATTCTTTATCATTTTTGTTTCAAAAGTAGAATCGACCAATCGCATTGATCGATCGGCCATAAACGAAAACCAATCAGGTGTTCGATGAACAACCGCCATATTGCCGAAGGTGTTATATTCAACGGCTTGATTGGTTTGTTTATTTTTCTATAATTATGTATACACACGCGTATCATCCATGACGACAGACTGTTCTGTCTGACATGTTACACGCGAAAAATTTAATTAATTTTGCAACAATCTAACGCAAATACTAATCATCCGAGCGTTGTATATTATCGGCCGATATTACCGTGCGAGCGAAACAACTCGGACGGTAATCGAACGAGGTTCCGATTTTAGTTCCTCCTAAAATCCAGACGGCGCTCGAGAAACCATCGACGTCTCTCGCCGACGATCGTTATACGAGCGATTTTTCTCACGCCCTGCCCCTCACGTGCTTGATTTTTTTGGTTGCGAGTGAAAAGATAATCAACGAATTGAGTGAATTTTTCCGAGATTCGCATAAACGAACGAAAATAAAGAAAAGGGAATCTCTCGAGTGCGTGATCGGAAAGCGGATCGCACGTACCTGGGCGGTGATCTTGCACGTTCGCTATCAGAGCGCGGTACAATCGCGTAGCAACATGGCCGGGGTGCTGTTCGAGGATATTTTCAATGTGAAAGACATCGATCCCGAGGGCAAGAAATTCGACAGGGGTGAGTTTATATTGCGTATTACACGTCTTTATTCTCGGGCGTTGCTCGGCATTATCGCGCCCAACAGTAATTTCGTCGAAATAATCTGATACTGATTGTCTCGCGCACGAGCTGCTTGACCTTGTCGATAATGCCGGTAGACTCGAGCACATGATGTGACAGCTGAGAGCGCGCCGGATTTCGCCGCGAAACAACACTCGCTCGCGTTCCTCGCCCGTTCGTTTTGTTTTAAATTACAGTGAAATCGAAAAAGCAACGTTTTTTTTTTTTTTTTTCGCGTACCGGACCGATCGCGCGACCGTTTACACGACGAACGTTTGTCGAGCAAATTGCGGTGCGACGCACATCTGTGATCTCCGTCGAGCTACGCACAAACGAAATAGACAATGGAAAATTACAACTAGCACTCTCGGGAGCAAACATCCATCAATTAGTAGTTCGCAATTTCGTGCTACGGTGTCGTACGAGACCGTTGCAACACGTTGGTTAATTTTAGATAGAACCGCATTTGGTCGCTGAAATATACACATCTGTGGACTTCGGTTCACATTTTATCTCGCATTTTTTCTCTCGCGATTGCACAAACGAAGATTTCAAAAATGCTCCGCTTTCTCTTCCGAACTAGAATCTTCGAAATTTTTTTTTTTTTTTTTTTTTTCTTAAGTGGGGAGAGGAATATAATTGCGCGAGAATTAATTTGGTCGTCACAAAAAAAAATGCCTGACTCTGTGTTAAAGAGAACGTTGTGTCTCATTGCGCGGTTGAATTAATGCTCTGATAATAAGTAGAGAAAAACGCGTTAGTTTCGCGTCTCTCACTTCTGGGAGGAAAAGGATTCGTGCGTAAATACGCCTTTCCGTGCTCATCTTCAAACGACCTTGCGCAGCATTCGATATCTACGTTTTTGCCCGGTCTCTTGGTCTACAATGGAGTGGAATTTGCAGAGCGGTATAAATCGAAAGGGGGATTCGGCCATGACCGAAATTCGCCGCCTGAATATATTGAATCATTCCCTGTGTACATTCGCGTCCTTTGAATTTCGTCTCTCTCTCCGCAATGATTGTCGACTACACAGAATCTCTCGAATTACGAATTTGCGTGCGTGTTGACAAAAAAATTTGAAGTTCTTTCCTTTTCGCGTCTTATTGCAACTTCTGTTACAAATATAGACAATTCGATATAATCTTTGCACAAACACACTTGGAATATTGCGGTCGTAAAACAGTGCTCTCAAAACTTCGAGATCTTCGGTTTGCGCGTGTGCGCGTGCAAATATTCGAGCGTTTCTGTGTGTATCAAACTCTAAACAACACTCCGATTACACTACAGTGTTACACACATATTTACGCGCAAGTTTATTTTTCTCTTTTTCTACTCCCCAGTCGTATCTTTTATTATCTCGGTCGATTAAACCATCGCCATATCGACTATGTGTGTGTGTGTGTGTGTATTTCGATCATCAGAGCGAGCACAATCGCTTCCGCATGTGCGATTAGTCGAGTCTAAACAAACAAAATTAGACGACGCTCACAAACCTAACGATGAGAGCGTCACAAAAATGCGAGCGCGAGAGGAGAACGGAAGATCCCTCTCCTCTGTCTTTTTCTTTCCTCCTGAAAGTGAGGCATGGAACCGGGGTTGCGCGCGAGCGAGCGACCGACCGGTCGATGCAGCAAGGAATATGGCCCTGCACCCGCAGCAACAGTAGCGCCAAGAGCAGTACCACGAGCATTCGCGTATAATATGGCGCGACTGCGTTGCTGGGGCCGGGGAAGGAAATGGGAATCAGTGCTACGTGGGGAGCTGCGGAGCGGCCGGGAACTTGTGCGGCGCGCTCGGGTAGGGGTTGACACGGTCAAGGTCAGCCTCGGTTCTAAGGTCGCAGCAGGGGGGGATGTCATCTTAGAAAGGAGTGTGCCCGGGATACACACGCCGCGCTTCTTCCCGTTCGCGTTTTCTTTCTCGATCTCTTTCTCTTCTTTCGCGTATTTCTGGAATTTGGTTTGTTTTATTTTTTGTTTTCCCAAAAAAAATTGGGCGAAGCGAGAAGACGGTGATTTTTCTTTTGGTTTTGGTTTTTTTTTTTGAACGCGTTCTCTTTTTTCACGCTCGTTTTTTCACACACGGACGCGTCAACAACTCGAACTCGTTTCTCTTCCTTGCTCCGAACGGACGAGCTCCGCGTTTTTATTTCTTCATTACACAAACCCGCTTTGTTTTACAACCTACGCGAGAACATACACGGGATCTCGTTCGACGAGCGTGTAATTATACACAAACGTAATTGTACAAACGGGGAGCGAAGAATGATGTCTTTTATACGTGAATTAAGCCATGAAACTTAGAGAAACGTCATTATTTTTTGTCATGTTAAAAGAGCTATTGTTTGAATGTTATTATTACGTGTATAGATCCAGTCTCTCGCGGTTTTTCTTTAAATTTTTTGTTTTGTATCGCGCGTACAGCGCGATATGACTATCGTCATTATGTAAAACGTTAATCTTAATCGTATAATTCTGTATATGAGCTCTCAAATTGCGTGTTTTTATTGATTTGAGACACTTATATGCGCTACGTTTTTACGTAATATTGCGATCGGCTTCGCCAAGATTCAAATCGATGTGCTGTTATCGAAGTAATGAAACAGAGCGATAATCATGTGTGAAGGTCTGACTTTTATGCATACGAAAAATATGACGACGCGTCGTCGAGGATATCCAGCAGGTTCGTTATTATGTATGAAATCTATTATTTTCCATTCCAAGACCCAATTAACTTATTCCGCATATTAAAATGTGGAAAAATCCAGTTGTCATCCAGTTTGATGTACGTACAAATATAATGTACATATATATACATTTATATATATATATATGTATATTTTGTTTTGTTTTTTGAATATGAATTTTGTTAGTAAGCTGCGTCTTTATCTTTCAGAAATCAGAATTTTAGTAGTTTCAATTTTCTCGGTTTTTTTTTTCCAAAACGTTTCGCGTATAAATTGTTATTGTGAATACTTATGCCGGACATATCTGATTTTTAATTCACGTTGTTACAAAACGTTTTCTAAACGTTGCTTCCTCGTATATAGATATTGAAATTTATTAAGCAAAAGCTTTGTCATACACTCTTTTGTGTTTCATGTTTTGAATAATGAATTCGTGACGAGAGACCTGCGCGATATTTTCAAAAATCATACGATTATACACGTAGCAAAAGCAAATGTCTGAAGTTTGCATTGTAAATTTTTTTTACAATGCCACGTATGCGGCTGGATTAAAGTTTAGACAGTTTTTAATTAGATTCATGAAGTATTTTTTTTTTTTTTTTTTTTTTTTAAGAACATTCTAGGTACGTGTAGTTAGCGTTTTTTTTAAATCTTATTTTGAAAAGCTAAGTTTTTCGAGATTTTAAGTACACGTGCTTGGTGTTTTAGTTGACTTTTTTTTGGAAAATTACAATTTTGCGAATATATTCCAAATATACGGCGTTTTTCGACAACGATTTAGAATTAATTTTTTTTTTCACGGTAGCAGCGTGAAGCAAATGGCGAGTGCGTTCGAGAGTAGGTAAGTCACGGATGATTGGCTATCAATCAATTGGCTCAGCCAATCGCCGCGCCTCAACGGATTCGCACAGAGAGAGAGCCGGTATATCTCGCGAACCGAACGTCGTCCTTGACAGTGTCGAAATACATCGCGAGAAAAAAATGACCGATAAATTCGTAACGCGTACGAGCACGAGATCGTGTATACTCGTCGTCAGAATCGAGAACACATCGCCGGTTACCAGAGGGAGAAAACACATGTGACTGTTCCGCAATGGCGGACGCGACGATTAGCGAGCAAGAGCGCGATAAGAGGAACAAAGAAGTAAAATTTGCACACTGGAGAGATAAAGAGAGAAAGAGGAGAGAGTGGGAGAGAAAGAGAGAGAGAGAGAGAGGTGGAAGTTGCTCGCAGACGGATGAGTAGGATTTGGCCAGGGTTGGTGGGAGAAGGTGGCAGAAGGGGGAAAGTACCTGACTACCTTCAGTTTGGTGTTCAGTGTTGCTAGGCGCGATGGCCACTGTCAGTGCCAAGGCAGCAGCCGACAACCTTCTTTCGATTTGCGTGAGTCGAGTTAAAAAAACTTTTTCCACTCAATTTTTCGTCCCAAATCCATTGAGTGTCGTAAACGTCGATTCTCCTTTATCTCTTTTAATACAATTGACTTCGCTGTCTTCGTTTCTTTAGCTTGCGATGCATCTCCGGGAACGCTTTTCGCACGCGCCAGTAATCGGCGCCCGGTCGCCAAATCCGCGCCGGCACTGCCTCGCCGCCAACACTCGTATTGCGTCTGCGTCCGTGTGTAGTACGTGCAAACAAAAAAAGAACGGAGTATGGAAAAAAAATTTTACGTGAATTTTACGGGATCTATCTTCGGAATAATGTGCATTGCTCGCTTGTCAATGCTACAGTCGTCATCTAACGTCGTGAGTATTTCTCTTATAATTTTTAATTGCGTTAATATTTCGCACGGTTTTGACAAAAACTTTAGCATTGAATTTTTACTTTGTGTGTGTTCTGTATTTGATATATTATGTATGTGTATATACGATAAAAAATGTATATATTATATAAATACGTAGATATTATATATATGTATGTATATATGTATATTATAATACATAATTATTACTATATATTCATATATATTCATATATATATTCATATACATTAAAAAATCACATATATATATTATATATATTATTTATATTTATTTTCTCATAAGATTAATATTGTGCTACAATATTACAATATTTATTGTCTTGAATCTTAACATAAGATATTTTATAATATAAGAATGAGAATTTATACTCAATGTTATTTTATATGATGTAAAAATGCACGCATCTTGCATCTCTGAGATGTAATATTCTCGCAAGTTACATTACATAAATAATGCGAAAGTAACGAACAATTGAATATCATTCTCATTGTAAGTTACTTAAATTATTT